TATTTATTTATTATGTATACAATATTCTGTCTGTGTGCATGTCTGCCGGCCAGAAGAGGGCACCAGACCTCTTTATAGATGGTTGTGAGCCACCATGTGGTTGTCGGGAATTGAACTCAGGACCTCTGGAAGAGCAGGCAGTGCTCTTAACCACTGAGCCATCTCTCCAGCCCAATAAGTGCTATTTTTAAAAAGAAATGTCGCCGGGTGGTGTGGTGGCGGCACACACCTTTAATCCCAGCACATGCGTGGCAGAGACAGGTGGATCTCTGTGAGTTTGAGGCCAGCCTGATCTACAGAACTAGATCTAGGACAAGCTCCAAAGCTATAGAGAAACCCTGTCTCAACCCCCTACCCCCCAAAAGTAGTCTAGTTAGATATGAATTTTGTAAACTTGTGGGAATCTCTTGTTGAACTGCCAGTGTCTTTAGATTCTCTGTAAAGTATAAACGTGTTTTAACTATATTTAAATTATCATCTTTACCCCCATTTGGCCTCTAACTCTGACTCAAGAGTGAACTAGGAGACTGGAGTTCAGATGTTCCCCCCAAGAACTAGATCCAAATAATAGTCCAATTAGTGCTGGCACACTCAGGATGGCGGCTTCCCACTGTCCTTAATGTCCTCTTCAGAACATCCTGCAAATGCAGACTAGCAGTTCCTTTCTCCTCGTTTCTTCTCAGTTCTAGGAATCAGTACTTCACACTCGCTAGGCAAGCGTTCACTTAGATTAATCCTCAACTAAAGTCATTCTATTTGCCCATGTAGACAGCAAAGGTGAGAAACAAAATATCAGGTACCAGGCATGATGTCGTACACCAGGCGGAATCAGGGTACCAGGCACGTGACGTACACCTGTCACCAGGCAGAATCAGGGGGTACCAGGCACATGACGTACACCTGTCACCAGGCAGAATCAGGGTACCAGAAATGATGACGTACACCTGTCACCAGGCAGAATCAGGGTACCAGGCACGATGTTGTACACCGACTGTCACCCAGCACCTGGGAGGCTGAAGAAGGAGGGCTGTTACAAAGGCCAGGCCAACCTGGGCAATGTAGTGAGCACCAGGGCAGTCTGTGCTATCAGTTTTGAGAAGAAAAGTCTCAAACTAACTAGCAAGAAAAGAAGGGTGGACGAAGGGAGGGGAGAAAGGAAGGAAGGAGGAAATGAAGAAATCAGGAAAAATATTGTTTTCATTTGACATCTCCAGAACAACAAATGCTTTGGTTATGTGCTGTTATCCTTTACTACAGTTTTACAGTTGCGGCCAGAGAACAGTAAAGAGTGGTGCCCAGCGTGGGCCTCACTGCACTGCACATCAGGGAAACAGAGTGGTGCCCAGTGTGGTCTCACCACACATCAGGGAAACATTGTCTCGTTTCAGTCTAGTTGACTGACATTTGCTGGCATGCCTTCCCCCACCTCCTGCCCTTCTAAAACACTGAATGTTAATTTATGGCAAGTGTGCACATTCAGTCTCAAGTCTCACTGGATGCCAGAACCTGGTGGTGGGCTGGTAAGGAGAAAGTCTCCTTCTTCCACCTTCCACACTAGCTGAAGTGAGTGAGCATTAGTTCCTGCCGGATTCGGTCAGCCTCCAAATCCAGGGACTCCGTTAGCTCACACTCGTCCTCAGGTGACTGTTCAATGGGTCCGGTCACTGGAGAGGACCAAACATCCATCCCGTGTTCTAGAGAAATGTTATGAAGGACACAACAAGCCAAGATGATGTGGCTGGATTTCTCCGGCGAGTACTGCAGTGCTCCCTTCGATCCATCCAGGCATCGGAACCTAGAGCAGAGGGCTCGCAAAGTCTTCTCAATCACACTGTGAGTTGCAGAATGGGCCCTGTTATAGCGATACTCTGCTGGGGTTTCAGCAACACGAAGTGGAGTCATGAGCCAGGTGCGGAGAAAGAAGGAACTGTCCCCTGAGTGAAAAGACAAAGAAATGTGACTGTGATGGATTACATACAAGATGTGAAGTTCAGGACGGATGTGATGACACATGACTGTAATCTCAGGGCTCAAGATGTTGAGACAGGAAGACTGCCTCAAGTTCTAGGCCAGTCTGAACTACACTTGAGACCTTGTCTCTCAGGAAAAAAAAGTGAAAATTGGAAATACAGTGAGTAAGGCAGGGCCAAAGCACACCATACCATAATAACCAAGAGAAAAATGCGGCCATGAGAAAGCATGAAGAAGGGCTAAAGCAATGGCTCAGGGCCAAGAGTATGGGCTGTTCTCGCAGAGGACCTGGATTCAATTTCCAGCCCTATATGTGGCTTACAACAATCTATAACTCCACTTCTGGGAAATCAACACTATTTTGGTCTCCAAGGATACCAGAGACACACACAGAGTACAAGCACATATATGTAGGCAAACTCTCATACACACAAAATAAAAATAAATAATTTTAGCCGGGCGGGGGTGGCTCATGCTTTTAATCCCAGCACTCGGGTGGCAGAGGCAGGTGGATCTCTGTGTGTTCGAGTCCAGTCTGATCTATAGAGAAAGTTCCAGGACAGGCTCCAAGCTACAGAGAAACT